AGAAGAAGAGACGCTTCCTTCGTTTCTGGGTCAAGGCGTACCAACGTGTACTCGATCTCGTCGCCCCAATAAAGGGCGGCGCCCGTCGAGTTTAAATGTTTACGCCACAGACGAACGAACTGTTTTGCTCCTTCACGGCGAACGAAGTCTGCATGTTTTTTTGTCTCGGCCCAACTCAACGGCACGCCAACAGTCAGCAAACCCATTATGGAATTACAAAAGGTTGACTAACGAAAAATCAGGTAGGGGGTGATACAAGTTAAGAATTAAAACACTTTCTCGCATGAGAAAAAAATGCTGAAACTTGGAGTAAAGACAGTAAATTTTCCATCGTCTGAACAAATTTCTACTTTTTTCAGGGATTAACACATATTTGTTCTCGCAATTAGTTATTTAGAAGTGTTCAACAGACACCAGTTCGATTGAAATGGTAATAGCCAGTAAAGGAAAAGGACACTGCTACTACAGCTGCGAATCAACAACGAATCTTTGAACTTAATAAATCTACAAAATAAAAACTTGAAAAGTGCCATAAAAATGGACTTGCTGCATTGATAAAACCAAAAGTGTTTCCATGCTCTGCGCGGTTGTGGATGGATCTAGTTAACATTGGCTGCCAGTTTGGTTATCCGAGCCACCCGACATATCGTCCTAGTGAATATTAATATTTGCTGATTTAGGATAACAGAATTAAGCAATGTGTTCACAAAAACAGTTGGCACTCCTCATCCGGGATGAACATGATTCGTGTGCTTACTTCGCGCACTGCAAAAAACTTTCAGCCAAATAGTCCGTTTTAAGGTACATATTACAAATAGTTCGAGAATACAGACATCTGGAGTATTATACCAGCCTCTTAGCTCATACAGAAAGAATCTTCCCAACTATTTTTCTGTGTATCACGCAAGTTAATTACACTCCTTAGGCATGCTCATTCCCAGCGAATACAGCGCCGGGTAGCGTACATCAAAGTCTTTTCTGGCATATGTCTTTTTAAAAGGTAAATGCGCGTAACTTGGCTTACAAAGATAGGCGGAGCCTTGTTTATAAGTCGATAATACCTGGTGATCAATATGTGTTTTAGGCCGACTTTTAGTATAACGCCTCGATATTCAATTCCCAGTTGGGCTTGTCTAACAAACCTGTGTAATTGATACTTGGAGTTTACTTTTGACTCTTGCAAATGTTTAATTACTAAAACTGATAGCTATATATAATAAACTATATGGTAGACTAATAAGTTAGGTGCCTCGGTTAAGTATACAATCAAAATTTGCAATCTCCTTGATATCTATTTGGAACAGAACAATGGCAACTAAAAAAGCGGATGTCTGATAGCATGCCAACTGTCTAACGCCTGGTCATTCTCAAGAGTCCCTTTACCGATATCGAGTTATAAAACCCCATGCTCGAATAATGATATCACATTACTAACCAGCAGACAGCGCTTATTCTGAATTTTTAGGTCAGGACAGTTGCGTGTGAGCAATGATATTTTATCATAAATCGCAGATAAGTCCAGCGCACGAAGGACACAGAGACAGATGACCAAGGTTCTTGACCATCTTCTTAGCCCTCGCCTGCACTCGTTCCAGTCACAAATAATTCTTCTTGAACCACGGACGCCAGGCCTGGACGGCTTACTCCAAGTGGGACCGAAAAAACGCTCCGTATGTTTTCCTGAAGAGCTCCTTGTCGATTTGGACGAATCCCCGCCTAATAAAAATAGCCCCTGTGTCACGCGTTTAGCTGCCTTTAGACACTGTGAAGATGGTTTAAGCGAGGAGTTTATCAGAACACCGAGGTCTTTCTGCTCGTCAAAATTTGAAAGTGGTTGCCCATCGAGGAGGTATTGGAAGGACTCATCCTTCTCATCTGTCCTTCTAGTACGGAGCCTTAAAACTACATACTTAATAACATTGAAGTTTAAGAGCTAATGAGCAGACCAGTTGCTAAGTTGATTGAGACTCCCTTGAAGTGCTTGTCTATCGGCGTCAGACCTGATAGCTCTCCAGAGTTTGACGTCGTCAGCAAACATGGTGGCGCTCCAACCCAGGTCGTCGACACAGTCGTTGATAAAGATTAGGAAGAGCAGTGGCCCTAAGACAGAGCCTTGGGAGACGCCACTTACAGCAGATGTGGGAGTTGATTTCGGGTCACCGATGCTCACGGTTTGCGATCGCCCTATGAGAAAATCTGTGATCCATTT